CCATAAAAAATGAGAAATTAGAGACATTTATAGCTAAGTGGATGCACATTGAGGCAATACTCTTAAGTGAAATAAATAGGACACACATGTGTAAAATTATTTTTTTAAAAAGCTATGGTAGAATGGTTTCAGAATATAATTTTATAATAACAAAATCTATCTGTATCACTAGGTAAATCTTTTAATCTCATTACAATGAACTTGTTTTCATTTGAACAAACTCCTGCTATAAGTACAATTTTGTCTTCTATTTTAAGATAGGATAACATTTCAAATTATCTGCAATAAATGAAGCCACCTGATGTAATGAAAGTGCTCTGGATTGGGGAGTAAAAGATCTTGGTCTTGCCTCTGCCCTTGGCTACTCTTGACCGTGTGTGACTATCTCATCTATGGAGGTTCTCTTTGCCATATTCACATAATGAAGAGCTGAAAAAGATCACACACTAGCTTTCTTCTATGTCTACTTATTTAGATGAAAATGAGTTTCAAATGTTCTAGTTTATCCCAAGGGAGATGCTAATGTTCTTAGTTATGCTCTTTACAAAAGATAAAGCTAAACTTAAGATGACGTTAGTAGCATAAACCCTGGAGCCAGACTCCCTAGGTTTGAATCAGATCTGCCACTTCCAATTAGATGAACTTGGACAAGTGGTTGAATTTCTTTATCCCTCAATTTTAGTCTACAAGTGGAAGATGATGCTAATACCTACCCCATGAGATTAAGATGAAGACTATACAAGATAAAAACACATAAAGAGGTCAGAATAGAGACTGGAACATATTCAAGGGCTGAACAAATGGTACCTTTTGTTCTACTGACTCGTTAGGAACAAATGAAGCCAGATAAAATGGGCAGCACAAACCATGTTTCTGGGTGATTTTCTTACTGCAAAGGACCCTCATAACTTAAGGGAGTAAATATTTCCAAATTTGAAACAATTTACAAATATCCTATATATTGAAGCAGATCTTTTTTAAAGTCCTGCTGCTGGATGTTTGATTTTTTGTTTTCTTAATCTAATTCTAGAATGTTGTACATTTGGCACTTATATGGTATGTACTAATTAAATCAAGTGAAACTTATAAGCATCAAAGTGTTAGACATAATAATAATATGAATAGAGATGATATATGGATACATTACTCTTGCAGTCAGCTTAATAATACTTCAAATAACTTTAAGGTAATTAACTGGCATACTACTATTTTATTCTTATTAGGAAGTAATGTGATAACACCATAGATAAGCAAACTAATAAATTAATCAAGAAAAGAAAATAGGAATTTGGTGTAAATTTCTCTCTGAACTACTGTGTACTATACAAAGATATCAAATATATTTTTAAGGATGAAAACAAAAGTTTATCTTAGTCAGGGAAAGTTTATCTGAAATAAAAGGTTTATTCACTTTTTTGGCTTTACTAACCCAAATAGTAATAGAAATTATATGTGAGTCATCCCATACCAATTCTATTTTTACTATATGAGTGATAACCAAATCATAGGAATCCTGTAGCACTGAAATCCCTGGACAAAACTTGTCAAATAAATAGACCCAAGCCCAGGATATCCCAACTTCTTCCTAACTTCTAGATCCTTTCTCTTAAACAACATTTCAAATGCTACTATTCAAAAAAAAAAAAAACAAAAAACAACTGCAGCTCAAGTGAGAAGCAAGTTAAACTGGTAGAGGCGAATGAGGCCTTAGAAATAAATTTCTGGATAGGGTGGCCACACTGGCTAGAGTGATCAGACTTGTAGATCTTCATTGCAACCCTAAGCTGAAGTTGTCTCTGGAAAAGATAATAAGAGTCTCACATGATGATAGCTGTACAGTAAGTTTGGCTACAATTTTCTATTTGAGCTTTCTCAAATTTGTGTCTCAAACCACAAAATAACCATAAGACTTGATCTAAGAAATACTAAGCATGGGAAAATGAGAAGAGAAAATAAAATTAAAAGTCATTAAAACACTATACACCAGGATAGGAAATATACCTTAATTTCATTTTATCTTCATTTTGCAGCCAAGAAAACTAGATCACACAGAAAGAAAAGGGAAAATATTTATACTTAGATATCACTAACTTCAAAATCTGCAATAAACTTCATATACTGCTTTCCCTGTGTACCACACTGTATTTCCTTAATGATCTTAGACAATTCTTATCTCTTTCCAAATATATGTCATTTGTATATCAAAATTCTACTTACTTCTGTAGATTACAGCAGAATTTAGCAGGGAATCTTACTGGGTCACGTGGGAGGAACTTGCTGTGTCTGATACTCCCAGGGGGACAGCCTTCTTCCTGAGGTTATTGGATTCTACACTGTCTTACTCCCTGCTGTGTACCCAGTTCTAGAAGACTACCTGGCAGAAGGCTCAAATTCATCATTAAAAGAATGGATTAATCTCTTTCTCCAATTCCTTTGCAGGTCTCAATGGTGCCAAGTTTATCTGCTTTCAAGACCGCCAGTGGCACAGTGAGTGCTTTAACTGTGGGAAGTGCTCCATCTCCTTGGTGGATGAAGGCTTCCTGACCCAGAACATGGAGATCTTCTGCCGGAAATGTGGCTCTGGGGTGAACAGTGACAACTAATCTTTCCCCACCTGAAATCCACTTTGCCTTTGTTCTCACTAAATCCAGAACTCAGTTGCAGTAGTATTTTTGACTTGCCTCTTAGAAAATGTCAAAGTAGGGTTTATAGCAGAAAAGATCTTACATGCATTGTGAATGAACTGCATAATAAGTACAGAAAAGCACAAATGAATATATACTAAATCACACAGTCACCTCTCCTTGAAAAATACTGCTTAGGAACATATCTCTACAATCAAGTGCATCACCTTTACCTCAGAGTTGTGAATATTATTTCTGAAGAATGACATTTCTCAAAACCGTAGAGTAAAACAAAAAATCAGACTGCGAAGTCCACATGAAGAATTATTTGCACTTCTAGCTAGCTAGTTATATATTACATGATAGGCTGACTATGAATGGTAGAAGAGATTTATAAGCAAAATGACTATCAGTTATGACATGTAAGAATCATGTCATTTAAAGTAATTCTTTTATTGTTCATATATACTGGCTTTAGAGACAGAAAACAAGTCTACAATTTGATCTCACACACTGCTTTCATAGTTAGTTGGTCCCTGTGTTCAGTTAGTGGAATTTGAGGACACTGAATGTTACAGCACTCCTACTTTTCATAGGTACAAAAGGGAGCATTTCTGCCTGCGGATAGCTAAAGCAGTGGTTTCAACATAGCTTGTCTAAAAACCCACGGTGATTTTTCTAAATGCTCACAGATTCCATGAAGTAAAAGTCTATTTTTTCAAGTGAAGCTAACCATGAAAATGGTTGTCCCCAGAGGCAAAACTTGAAAGTAAACAAAACATTAAATCATCACTTGTGGAAATGAATTTTAGAGAAGAGATTGAGTGCTGGAACATGACTTTCATCCAGATGCCTAAAGGCGGGATAGAATACATAATTAGCTCCAAGTCTCATGGTTTTTGCCTTCTAAAATTACAAAGATGATTAGTGGACAGATAAAAAGTGGGCTTTAAGGAAATCTAATAATAAATGAAAAATGATAATTAATTTGTGATAATTCTAAACCTGTGAATAAGCACAATAGAATAATGTGAGCTATAGATGACTTCTTCTTACAGTTCCTCCACACCAGTGCCACTCCTTTCCCACACTCCATCATGCCCACAGCTACAATCTGCTGCATGACCAGGAGCTTCCCAAGTAACCCTAAGCCCTCATTCGACAATTCAGTCAATATTTATTAGGTCACAAAAGAAGAAAGTCTTTGTGAGAAAGAAGTTATCTGGAAAGTCTATTCCCACATGTCGATCTTTATATCAACCATCCACTAGTTACAACCTACCTAACTGCCCCCAGACAATATTTTCCATATTGTGAGGGAAAATGGAAAGCAGTCTCTGCTCTCCATGATCACTTATCACCTTTGTTTATAGCAGATCTTGGGTAGGGTAGAGTGAAGACAGAAGAAACTTATCTAGACATATTTGTGTGCCTACTTTCAGATTGCTGCAGGGCATTTTAATGACTCTGAGTAAAACTTAATTATAGGCTGTAACTGATTACAATGATTGAAATAACATCACAGTCAATTTAATTAAAATTGTTACAGAAACAATTTTTGAAATACTTTTATATGCAAGAATTCTAACAATGTTAACAATTTAGAGATACTAATAAAAGGTCAGGGTACACAGATTATTTGAAAACTACAATTGCAATTAACAATGCCAACATATTTTCTCAAATTCACATGTTAAGATGCAAGCCAAATTGTTAACATTTTGCCTGTTTTATATAAAATTGCACATCAGAACAAAATATGCCAATTGTTCTATTTTCTAAAAAATAATAATTCATTACATCTGTAGAAAACTAAATCATTCAAAATCTGTATAGTTAGCACGTGTAACATTCTCTCTGTTAATCAAGTATAGGTAACTATATAACACATAGTCTTTTCTTAAACAATTTGTAATATTTAGGGATTTTTCTGTGTGTGGGGGTGAGTATGCATATGATCAGGCTTGTATTTTATCTTTACAATTAAAATTTACAGAATCATTTTCTTTTATTATCCTTTGATAATATAGTTTAGTATATATATTTCACATATAAATAGTTCTATATTTAGAAAATAGCTTAGTCACCAAACAGGTATTTAAACATGTGCTATGCCTGCTGTTGAGGTTCTGAGCTGGTGGGAAGGCAGCAGGGTGGATTCAGGCATGGAAATATGGCAGTGCCGGATGCAGAGTTCCTTCCCTAGAGCTTAGACAAAGCACCACTGTAGACATAGCACACATATGTAAAACAACTAAGAAAGAGCTCATTATATTGACATACACACAAAGATAATTATAAAATCATACAGTTAATTCACTTGATTTATACAATAAAGAGAAGAGTTTATCCAAAAATGAAATGGGCTGCCTTAGGAAGGAGTGGGTCCCTATGACTCAGGTTGACATTTGCACAGGCAGGGAAGTAGTTAGAAGCAAATTTTCAAAGTAATAACAGCCAGATGGCTTGGAAGTAGCAGGAAAATTGTACCAAAGAGCAGGAAGAAGTGAGATTGCTAAAAGAGAAAGAATCAGAGGAAGGGAGAATGCTAACTTTTAAGAAAAAAAGGTGTAAAAAACAGGCCATAGAAAGTTACCAACTGTTTTTAAATAAAGGAGAAAAAGGATCATGCTGATGTTTAAAAAATTATGCTAATGAGTATGTGTGGAAGAGAACTGAAGCAGACAGATTTCCAAGGGTTAGATTTCTTATTACGGTAATGTTTGGTTAGTGGCTACAAAAGTGAAAAGAGACACACAGCAAAAGATAATGCAGGCCTGAAGCTGTATTTGTTGATAGGTGATTATACAAGGTAACAAAGCAAAATATTTTATGTTCCATATGGTGATTAAACATGGTAAAGAAAAAAATAAAAAGTAAACATTTTGGCTTCCATAATAATGGGTAGAATGTCCAAGGCTCTTTTTTTTTTTAAACAAAATCATAAAAATGTTACACTGGGAAAACTAGCACCATTAGTAAAGTGAAATATGATCATACTATCAAAACTCAATAGTCATTATAACTTTTTAAAAATAAATGTTTCCTTGTACATTGCAGTAAAAGAGTGATCAGTCATTGTGAAAAATGTGTAACACTGATCACAAATGGCTTTGATTAAAAATCACTGCAAAATTTAATTCCACAAGTGAAAATTCAACCCCAAAATATGGATGATGTTAATAATACCATGTTTTAATTTAAGGAGATAAAAGTACTTTTTAATCTACTTGGCATGTTAATAAAAATTCATATATTAAACTAGAAAAATTTTATGGTATTATTTAGATATATTTAATAGAACACATAAATTATCCTCTGGTACATTTGTGGATAGATGTTTATTACCACAGTAATACAGCCTTTTTCTTGTTTTACATATTATAGTTTTCAGAATGTTTTTATCCTGAATAAGTTTGCATTTCACATAGCGTACATATATATTGTTTTTGAGATTTATTTTTTACATTAACTTGCAATAAACAAAATAGATGTGGAATAACTTCTTTAATGTTTCTCTTTCTATAACATAGGGCACACTATGGCCTTTATCTTCTTGACCTATCCTTTTTACAATGTCCAATTTAACTACATTTGGATATCACCTCAGAGAACTAGTAGAGAAGTAACATAATTGAATTCTGGCCAAAAGAATATCCCTCTCCTATTAAACTATGAGAATAAGGTCTGTGTTCTTTCTTCTGATGATTGATTTCAGAAATACTCTAAACTAAAATCTAAAATTCTATTTCTAATTATTATTTCTTTTAACTCTGGCAACATTCTACCAGAAATAGCTCACCTCAATTAGATTTTTCTGACTCGTTAAAGAGGCTTTTGTTACTTTCTCCTGTGTTGGAGGAATTGTTTAAAGCCTTGGTTGTTTCAAACTTACTTATTCTATCTGAAGCAAAATTTGTGTCTATAGCACAAAGCTTCATGAAACTTTATATAAGCCACACTGTAAGCATCGCTTAGTTTCTCTCCCAAAATACCTTAAAATACTGAATTTGCTAAATGTCCAAGCAAAACAGTATTTGGAGGAACACCTCTCACCTGATATTTCTACTTTTTTAAATCATCGTTTTGAAAAGTAATGAAATTCTTATGGGTACTTACAAGATAAACTTATATGTTGAAATATTGTATCTTCAATGAAAGAGTCAGAATGCTATTAGAAATTATGGCTTTCATGGTGTTAACCTTTATCCTGAACCTCTTCTCTCATAAGCACTAAATCTTTAGGTCATTGTCCTTCCAGAAACATTCTAAACACTCTTTTACACTAACAGATAGAGTCAAAGAAAGCAGTAGTCCACTTGAAGTCCTAGCTTGGGGGGAGGCTGAGGCAAAAGGAGTACTTGAGGCCAGAAATTCAAAAAGGCCAGCCAGGGAAATACAGTGAGACTCTGTGTGTGTGTGTGTGTGTGTGTGTGTGTGTGTGTGTGTGTGTGTGTGTGTGTGTGTGTGTTGTAAAGCAATGTTTGGAAACTTTAAGGTTCTCTTTCCATGGAGAGATAAAAGAAAACTATCACACTTGGGAAAATATGTCACAACGATAGAGGTGACCTCAAACTCCTTAAAAATTATTCAAGGTGTATCTTCTCTAGCAACATAACAAAGGGTTACCAAGAAAGAGACTAAAAATCTTGATTTGAGCCATTCAACTCAAAACTTAGAAATAAATCCATCCATCAGTCTATGTGGTTTCTTAGAAGATCCTATAAATGTATCACAAAGATAGAATTAGAGAAGTTCTTCATCAGAGTTATAACCATTCTGAAGTTTCCTGGCTGACTAGCTTTAGAGCAAGATATCCCTTTAAATATGGAGGTGGAGGAGTTATTTCTAAAATTGGAAATCAAAAGAGGGAAAATAAACAGATTCATGCTCACAGTTTGAGTCTATAAAAAACCCAAATATTTGTATATTTGTAATGGGTTGATATATCTGTAGTTGAGGAAGGGAACAGTTCACTTTGATAGAATTATGACCCATGTCACAGAGGAGCAAAGAGTATTTTGGTCAAATATTTTCCCATGAATGGTAATAAACTTATGGAGTGGATTCCGTAAAGGATTCTCTGAGTGAAGAACATTAATGAGCTCAACAGACATTCATTCGATGACTCAAATAGTGACATTAAATGCTATTCCCACCACACAAAAACAAAAGTCAAACTTTATATTTATCTAAGTCCACACACTAAATCCTCAGGGCTTATTCTTACATGACAGCCTATTTCCAGGTTGCCTCTCTAGCATCAGTGATGGGCTGTTTACCTGACAGTTCCATCTCAAGTTTCTTAAACAGGAAGAATAAAGGAGTAGGAACAGAAAAAAATTGAGGAAAAACTGTAGTGATTTTTTTAAACAGTGGCATTACTGAAAAAAATAGAAAATTAAAAATTCCTTCCTCTAGTGGAAATATTGTCAGATGTCACCTGACACAGAAGGCACCAAAGTAAATTATCTTTTCTTATTCAGTTTTCTATACTGCTACAAAGCATTTGCTATTGTGGGCCTCTCTTTGTTCCCTCAAAATATTTCATCCAATGATATCCATGATACCAGTCTCTCCTTTTTCTCCTAAATCTCTGCTTGCCTCACTGGTATATCATCCTCCATCAATTTCTTTAAAAATGATATTCCTCAATATTGTCAAGCTTCTTGCTCTGTGTTTCCTCTATTGTATAACTCATCTAATTTCATAATTTCAACTGCCTCCTCTTTGTAAATGAGTCCCAAATCTATGTCTCTGACCTTGCATTCTCTTCTGAGTTCTGGCTGCAACATTTCTTGTTGCCTGTTTTTATATCTGCAACTCAACAACTTATTATCCTTCTCATAAATTCCACATCTTTCTACCTTCTTCATCTTAGTTAATGTGTTATCCAAACAGAGCTTTTAGAATTGAAGTCTTCAGCAAATGGAAAATTAGCCAGTAGGGAAATGCAAATTTAAACTACAATGAAATAGTATTTCAAATGGACCTAAATGGCTACAAGTCAGACAGGCAGTAACGGCTACTGCTGAGAATACAGAGAAACAGAAACCTTCATACATTGCTGGAAAGAATGTAAGATTTTAAAGCCACTTAGGAAAACTGTTTGGCAATGTCTCAAAAAGCCTAACACAAAACCCTATAACACCCCAGCAATTCTACTCCAGATACCTATCCAAGAGAAATGAAAATGTAGATCCACACAAATGTTCATAGCAACATTACTCATAATAGTAAAACATTGGAACAACTCAGTATTGAACTGATGAGTGGATGGATAAACAAGTACAGTATAGCCATACAGTGGAATGTTATTCACCAAACCAAGGAAGTATTGATCAGTGCTACATGAATTAACCTTAAAAATCTTATACTATGTGAAGTAAGCCAGTTAAAAGGCCATATTTGTATGAGTCCATGTATATGAAATATCTAGAAAGATAAAATTTATAGAAACAAAGATCAGTGGTTTTTTGGGGTTGAAGAGGAATAGATGTGAGGTACCCTTACTGGAGAACATGAAAATATTCTAAAACCGATTTATGGTGATAGTTATGCCAGTTGGTAAAATTACTAGAACCGGAATGGAGAGAGAGGGAAGGGGAAGTAAAAATAATTAAGATGTGTTATGTACATGTACCAAGTCCCCATGATGAATACAATAATTGTGTATTATAAGCATGTACTAATAAAAATAAAAAAATTTTAATGAAATTAAGTCTCCTTGGTTTAAAAAATAATTTATGTGATGTGTAAACTATATCTCAATAAAGCTTTTTTAAAAATCTGACTCAATCTTCCCTCTCCTCATTTCTCTTTCTAAGCCCTGTAAGAAAGCTTCACCTCCTTTTGTCTTGCAAACCTTTTTTGCTTCCCTAAAACACCACTCATTTTTCCCATGCTCGTTCTGCCCATGGAACTTTCCTTCCTAAAAGTCTCCTCTCACTTGACTGTCAAAATTTTAATTGGCCTGTGAAGCCCAAATCAAAGTTGCTTCCTCTGTGAAAACTTTACTAATACCTTTAAGCAAAATTTCACCATTTTCTTCAACTTTTTGATAATTCTGTGGGAAGTTTAAAAACCTGAGTTATATTGCAATTAGGAATGACAGGCAACCTAGTTAAAATACAATCTTTAGAGCCAGAAAAATTGAATTCAGTTCCCAGCTCTGCCACCTGCTTGTTGTGTGACATTTGATAAACCTACTACACTCTTTGAGCCTTGGTTTTCCAGATTTAATTGGGGAACTTTTTTTAAAGCACAAAAAGAAATCAGAATTTATTGGTATTTCCTTAATGTGGAGACAAAAAGTTCCATAACATTCATTAGGAAGGTAAGTTACCCAATATCCTCAGTAGTATTCACTATTAAACTAAAAGTATAGACCAATGCAATTAAACAAATAGACTAGAAAATAATGAGCAAAACTACATTTATATGCAGATGCCATGTTGGTACCAGTATAGCTGGAGATTCTTTGAGAAAGAATTGTTAAATTTAAAAAATTATAATAATTCTGTTATAAAGAGGAACTATTTAAAAAGTAATCAATAGTTTGCACATATAAAATGTATTTCAGAATCCTATTTATCATAAAAACAAAAGGTGAAATGCAGCGTGTGTGACACTGGGATTGATTCATGGTACAGTGCTAGGATTAGGGGTGATTACTAAATCAGTCCACTGATTGGTTTGGCACCGGTAGCCTGGATACATTATAAGGGACAGAAAAAGGCTTGTCTTGTTGTTTTGCTACCTTCTGCCCACCATGAACTGTTGCCCTTCTGCCATGTGTCACCCTGCCTTGGACCAGTCAATTTATAGACTGAATCCTCAACAAACGGTGAGCTAAATAAACCTTTCCTCTTTTAACTTTGGTTGTCAGGTATTTTGTCTCAGCAACAGAAAAGTAACTAAGACAATACATAACATTTACATTTGTTTTGAGGAATTAGTAGACATATATGTAATATAAACTTCGAAAAGTTGTTGTGAGTATGAAATGAAATATATGTAAACTGCTTCACTTCTACCTGGCACATATTCAGTTTATGAAAAGTTATTAAAATCTCATCTTTTCCTTCCTCTCCAGTTCACCCCTAGATTGTGTGTTTATTCATCTTTTAAAAACCCAGTGCTTATCTGATCTGATCATTTACATTATATGTATTGAAATATCATACTATACACATAAGTATGCAAAATTATTATGTAGATTAAAAGTTT